TCATAATAACACCATAGATAGCGACAGCCTCACAGAAGATAATGGACACAAGATTCTTAGACCTGCAATAGAGTCAAGTGAAAACATTACTGCATGCTCGACCTCAAGATCCCCATATATTACTTAATCCTAGGAGCACGAACAGCAGCACCAACCAATGAGGAACCGGTGAGGAAGATACCCCAGGCAGCACCGATAACGGAGAATGCCAAAGAGAAGGTAATACCGAGATTAGCCCTGACAGACTGATCATCATTTCACCATTATTCCCAGCATGCAAAAACATCCATCAACTTTAGCTACAGTTAAACACTCTCTATAAACTTACCACATGTAAGGGGACATGCTGTTGAAAGTGCATCCCCAGGACTCGTCATAGCAGGGATCCAGGAACGGGTTGAACGTAGCAGTAGATGACATGGTGTCGACTAATCACAACTCTAATGCGCCACAAAGGGTAGGGTCAGCGCCCACGATGATGAGCTAAGGTCAAAGCCGAGCGGAGCGGAGCGATGCACATTTTACATTTTTGTAAAAATGTTCTCGACCACCCACAAAGCTTCTCTTAGCTTGGCATTCGTAATACGGCTACGCGCTTCAGCGGTTCGCAGTGACCCAGAAAAGCTGTCAATCGTGCTGTTTTAATCTCTTCCGTGACACAGGATGAAGGATGCAACCTCAAACTTTTCATCGGGAAACACAACTCAGCATCGTCATAAAAGTAACTTGAAAAAACACGAGACTATTATGTGAAATGCTCATACGAAGCATGCTGCCATCACTACGGAGAAGAGGGTTCAGCTCCGAAGAGCCCTATCGGACTTCGAGTGGTGCGATCTACACTTTCCACAGAATCGTTCATCTGAGGTTATACATGGTTAACATGGTGATTCCACTGCGTTGCTTACTTCAACGTTAACTGACTCGTCATGGCTGATCGTCGCCTCATCTAATCTCTCCAGAGTCCAATGACCGTAACCGTCTCCATCAATGTGCAATTCACAGGTATGCAGCCGTCTGAGACTAGGCCGGTGAGCTATGGAAAAGATGGTCATGCCTGGGTTCATCCCGATGAGGAGCTCATAGAGAGGGGCTTCATCATCAACTGCTAT